TTTTAACTTTTTTCACCCGTGCTGTGTGAACAGAGCAAAAAAAAAAAAAAAACACCCGATCAGGTTCTTTATTTCATTTCATTTTTGAAATTCCTGCTACACAGTGGTTCAAACAGAGTGGGTGAATACACACGAGTCAGAGTGAATGTACTAAAAGCAGGAGCTGAGACAGCAAACACTTTTAGCCATGGAATTTCTTGCTGTCAAAGAGGAAGGAAAAATAACAGCATGAACGTTAGTCAGAGAGGGAATTATGCAGAAGCTGATATATATATAGAAAAGCTAAAATCACGCTGTGACTGCGGCAGTTCCACTCAATAACTCATTTGGCATTATGGCAGCGTGCGAGGAGCTCAGCTTTAACGTGGATCACGGCTACCTGGAGGGTTTGGTTCGAGGAATGAAAGCTGGGATTCTGTCTCAGACTGATTATCATAATCTGGCCCAGTGTGACACACTAGAGGGTAAGCCTTTTGTATCACACATGTAACGTGTCATAATATGCAAATGTGCAATACCTGCAGTCTAAAAAATATTATGCACATGTGAGGGGGTGTTGGAAGCAATTTATCTATCTATCTATCTATCTATCTATCTATCTATCTATCTATCTATCTATCTATCTATCGGTGATCAGTACATTGTTTAACCTTTTCCTGCTTATTTGAAAATTGCAAACTAACAAGCAGTGGAGTATAAAACATTTGATTTGCCATGTCCTCTGCTCAGATATGAAGCTACACCTTCAGAGCACAGACTACGGTAAACTGCTGTCCTCGTCCGAGGGCGATTTGACTGTGTCGCTGCTGGACAGCAAGCTGAGGGAGAATCTGGTGACTGAATTCAGCTGCCTGCGCTCTAACGCCCTGCCACCCCTGTCTACCTTCCTTGACTATATAAGGTGTGCCTAGTCACTGCATGTGCTTTATTTATAGCTTGTGTCACAGGATAAGCAGACGCACTTCAACAGCATCCTGCAGGTTAGCCACTGCTGAGATTTTCAGCTAAAGAGGACAGTGTTTACGCAAACAGTGGAGACCTTGTGGCAAACGTGGCGAGCTCTCAGTGCAATTTATGCGATGAAAACCTTCATTTTGCAACACTCTTTGTGGTTTATAAAAATGGGATGAGCAGGAAACATTTTACATGAACTGTCATGCAGGGTAAAGGGGATATTCAATTCATGTGGTCTCTGTGTTGCCATAGTTACAGCTACATGATCGACAATGTGGTGATGCTGATCACGGGGGCCCTGAAGAACAAAGATGTGTCAGAGCTGCTCCCACGGTGTCACCCACTGGGAGCGTTTGACCAAATGGCAGCCGTGGGCATTGCTCGCACTCCAGCTGAACTGTACTCAGCCATCCTGGTGGACACACCACTAGGTAATCTCTGTTTTTTAAAATGTCTAATGGCGGCAAAGATGTATATTATTAATATTTAATTATCTTTTAGCTCTAATACACTTGTGACAGACCATCATTGACTTAAATATCAATGAGTCACTAAAAACACTTTAGTTTAAACACTTTGCACTGATGCATGCAAAAAGAAAACAGGTCCTGCTCACTCATCCTGCTTCATTAACCACAGCTTACTTGAAGTGGTTTGCACACAAAAACTATTAATTTAGTCATTAGAGCATTATGAACCTTTCTGAGTACAGATACAATATTAAATGCCTCACATGACCTCATCAGACTGGATCTTTTTATCAGTTTATTACAGTGATATAACTTTTATTTCTAATGCATAGCATTATGTGGAGCTCTGTAATGTGTAATGTTTGTCAGAAATTGCAAGTGCTCAACATAACACTGAAATAGTGAAGTGTTATATTGTTATTACTCAAAGTATTAAAGTGCTATTCCAAAAACCAAATAACACCAAAAGGAAACAATAATGTTGTTATATTAGTTGTAGTAGAAGTATTAGGAGTAGTGGTGGGAGTGACAGTAGTTTCATGTAATCTTAATGCAACAAAAGCAGTGATGAATATGTGTTTTGGATTCAACTTCATAGTTCGATGACTCCCCAA